AGATAGATAGATGATTTATTTTGAAGGTAATATTCAAAATTTTCAGTAACAAAAAAATGGCTCCTTCACAGAGAGTAAGGTAAAAGGTCATAGAATACTCTAAGTCTAAAGGTTTACATGATGCCTACATCTGTTACGGAGATAGGTCGGCTTTCATCTTCTCAATTTCCGTTTCTTCACACGTGAGGTAGCGTGCTAGGAATGGGAGTACAGACTGCTGACATGCCGATGTACGCAATCAAAAACACACTAAACGAACAACGGCGGAGTCGTGTACGAATACCAGAAGCTGGAGCAAAAAAAAAATTTGAAAAAAACTTTGCAAGAGCAACTGCTGTTGATTAACAAAAGAAGCCTATAGACCAATAAAACTGGGAAAACAACTACTGATTAAAAAAGAAGGCCTATTGACCAAGAAAACTAATAGAGCAACTCCTATTACCGCTAGGCAGCCCCAAATAAGGTATGCTAGTCAGCTTCGCAGATAGAAGCATAAACGTGGGATTCAGGAAAGACTAAAAGGGGGGATGAGACAGTTCTTGAGCAGAGTAAAAGTGATGACCAGCCCTGAGGACGAATAGGGTTCAAGAGGCGGCTGTCAACTTAAAGAAGTATACGGTTTTCAATGCCTCGGGGCGAGGTTGCCGCCGAATGGACAGAGTAAGGAGGGGTGTTGACCGCGCCAGCCGTCTGCACACTTCCCATCTCCGGTCTTCCTGACTTTTGTCTTGACATCGGATACAGATGTGTAAGTGGTGAGAGAGTTGGCTAGAGCTTGCGAGTCTACCTTCACTATAATCCAGCTACAGTCACCAGGTCTGCCTTCAGTTTGCTGAATCTCGTGTTGGACATCGTCGAGAGCGACGGTCGAACTGTCAGTTTTATTTTAGTTTAGGTAGTTTTATTTAGTTTAGTACACGGTAGTTATTCATGTATATTTATCTTAAGTTGGCGCTATCTAAATAAAGTAACTTAAATCCAAAATTAAACTAATAAACTAAACTAAAACTGAATTTAAACTATAGAAACTAAAAGTCACTACAGGACTCGGGGTATCCAGCGTAGGCTACCAACTTTTACCGATAACTAGGACCTTCGACACGCGTATCGAAAGTCATTATGCCTTTCAGAGCGCGTCAAAATGACGCACTCGGTTTTTAATTTACCGTCGTAGGATGTCTAGTGCGGGAGGGGTTGGGGGACGTACAATTTCATCTGCTTTGGGTCGCGATCCACAAGAAGTAAGAAACAAGCCTACCAGCAAGTGATGCAGATTCTTGTTTCGCGTCTCCGCACTACTCATACCAATGACTGTGTTCATGCCTCCGAGTATGGGGCCGTTGGTGAAGCTGTCAGAGCGCGCCGAAGTCATGCAAACGCTGCCACCGTAGGAGTTCCCAGAGTCCTAAAGGGTAGAAAAACAACAAAAACAAAATGATATAGGAAACAAATACTGGGAAACAAAATCAATATGTGGAAAGATTCGAGGTCCAGATATCTTATAGCATTCTCCAAAAAAAGAAGGAACAGGGAGGGGGCGAGTTCTTGGACCGAATTGTACTCGTACTGAGGTTTCAGAAACAATCTCGCTTCCATCATGAGAATGTACTGTAGCTGCTACATCTGGTTATCCTGAGTT